TTTGATTTGCAAAGGAAGCAAGACTCTGGGCATTTTCCACCTTTGTTGATTTTGGCCTGGAAAAACTTTCCCTCTCGAAACAAATCTTTAGCCTATGACTAACTATTGGAGGTTGACTATGAAGTTCTTTATCATAAAAATCAAAATCTTCTCTCTGGTACTAATGCCATCTGAATGTTGATGGGTAGAGGAATGTATTTAAATTCTGAAGCAATTTGTGTCTTCCCTGAGCTTGACCGAGATCTGGGCTACTGCTATAGTTCTCGGCTTCGGAAGCCAAGGTTCAATCACAACCTGATAGGTACTGCTTTCTGAATTCTAGGCCAGCATCCATTTTTTATAGCCGCACGAAGTCTTTCCTCATTGCCTTCACAAGCAGGACACGGTCGCAGGACACACTTGTCGCTGGGGGCATTTCTGAGAAATGCTACTCCTACCCCAGATTTCCTTCTACTTCGACCATACCCCCAATGGGAGTCTGCCAACATTGTGGACAGCGCACTGAAACAGGATAAAAGTAACTATCAATGGAAATCCTCAGGCCAAATGAGGCCCCCACCCCCGCTGGGGATACTACAGGGAACGTGCCCTGGTCACAATTAGAAGTAGAAAAAACAAAACACTGGAAAAGGAAAACACTGCAATGCACAGATGATCCGTTTCGCTTGTTCCCTTAGACGATCATCATTGTCTCGCCACCCCAAGCTCGTCAGTAAGGAGCGTCGACGAAACAAGGACACGGAAACAAGGAGCACAGGTCTTGTGTGAGGGGATCAGCCGGGCTACTTAAAGGCAGTTGGGCACGATAATTTGGTACTCGGCCTAAAATGCTAGCAGGGCGCTATATAGTGGGGAAAATGGCGAAAGAACGGAGTGAAACGGTCAAAATCCTGCGAAGAAAAAGCCTTCGTTCTCAGTGACTTAAAATCAATTTCGGACGAGTTTCCCGTAGGCATCTTGCCAATAACCGCTACCGAAGATACGGCTGCATATGTGTACTCATATATCATGCAGCATCACGGCCGCTTCATACCAATCCCTTCGCTTCATGCTTAGCAAATTTTATCTTAGCAATGAAGCATACAAGGCGTCAGGAACGGTCGTCCATTTGTGGGCGTTCGGGCCCTTTACATGGGTACCTTCCTTGTAGAGGGCGCTGCGCAGCGCCTTCTTTGGGGCGCGGAATTCCATAATGCTAGGCATATTAATTCTACTCATGCCTTAAGGGATTTTTATCCGTGGCATACATGCCTTTAATGTTTTTTTCCACTGTCCTGCTGCTGTCAAGTAGGCCATTTTGGACAGTTCTGCAGCGCGCGCTCATCGGAAACGCTTTTTCATGCCCATTTGAGTATGCGTCGGGAGCGCATGGAGGCAGATGCATCAAGCACGCCACTCGCTTTCTATTAAAAATGGCCGCAGCCTGAATTCGCGCAGTATTACGTTATGTCTACCAGAGCATGCCGATCGGCAATCGTTGTCGGAAATATCTGGTTCCCGACTGGTTATGCTACTGCGAAGCGGTGCATGACGGATGTACTGTACAGCAATGACGACACATCGTGGAACTGAGAAATTTAGAACACCCGTGGGCCGAGGATAAGGTCAATTCGGTCGCGAAATCTCTGAAGTAATACAAGGGCTGAAGCAGAATTGTTGGTTGTTTCTGCCAGTCGATTTGGGGTCTCCAAGATTTCTTATTAATAATAGTGGAGTGCAAATATTGGCTATATTATTCAACTCACTACCTGCCGTCCAACCCATCCCCTTTTCTAGCGAGCACACATTATCGTGGTGGGAAACCCATCATGGGAGGTCGTATTTGGGCGCTTTGGGAGAGGGAGATCGGGGAGATCGTATGTGGGCTCGAGATGAATTCTTAACGATTGGTTTTTCTCCCTAGCGGCGGCACGGTAAAGGAGTTTGTGGTAGTTATTTGCTGGTTTTCACACTCTCCACCTTGTGGAAGTTGCAGAAGATCCTGTAGGATGGTAGGTGAGCTGTGAACAGCCCTCCTTTCGGATCATAGAGAGACTGCCATGCCACCAGCTCCTCACATCGATGTGCCGACCCATCTAGCATAGCCTTTTCTTAGGTTGACACGTTTTACCATGGTGGTTAGACGAGCTTGCTCCAGCTCTACAGGAGTTTATCAGTTTCACGCAGTAGAGCCTTGTAAACAGGAAGTTTTGAAGCGAAAAAGTGCAAAAATGCCCTCTCCCTCGCTGAAACTGCGCCCGAGACATAGAAACACCGCGTCCGAGAGTCTTATTTCTGTGAACTGGCGGAACCCCTTTGAACGTTTCTTCAGACCTCCTACAGGGTTATCTTCTATAGTCGACCTCTTCGGTGCGGAATTTAGGATCAACCGAATTCGTCCAATATTATGAAAGAACAGGATGGCGTATCCCCCTTCACAGTGGCCAGACGCAAAAGCCATTTCCAAGCAGTCAGGTTGGTCCTTCGTGCCAGGTTTATGAGTGAAACAATTTTTAGCGGCCAAAGATGAATAAACGGTACAACCTGGAAACCTCGAAAAGCAGAGGATTGCGAATTTCAAGTTAGACCACTGATAGAGAATTAGGGAAGGGGGGCATTTACTACTTGTGGGAAACTGGAATTAGATGAAGACTTTTAGCCTGACATAAGACCAAAAGGGCAAAAGGATCTTCGATGGGTTCTGGGTAAAAATGCCTCATACAGTTTATAGTAGCCCCGTCATGTGCGAACAGTCCTCCAGTTACTCTTTGAGATTATAGTGCCGAGTTGTCAATCGGGTGGTTACTAGGAGATCCAAATCCTCTTTTAATTTCTTGAGGTGCCTGAGGAGGAAGGCTTTTAGGCCCTGAAAGTCTGAGAGAAAAGCTTTTAGGTCCTGAAAAGAGCAAAAAACCGAAACATTAGCCGAAATAGGACAATAACAAGTTTGGATGGCTAAGCTTGACTGTCCCTTCGAAACCAAATTGTGCAAGACATCAACGGTGCGAATTCGAGGTTTTAGGTCACTACGGGCCGGGTGCGCATCTAGATTTCTCTACATTTTGATGAAGGCCTAGTGCATGGCCCATCCGGAGGGGGCGGATATTTTTGGCCTTTCTTTCACTACCCCTCCTTAGCTCAATTACCAATGCCCGTTTTGATCACCCTCATAGGCATACCACATAGTCCGATGACAGAACACTCAATCTGCCCTCATAGTTCCTTTACAGTACTAAGCGCAGGTGTCTGTTCAGCAAATTCCTCGATGTAGAAACACCGGGACGAGAAAGGGCGCACGCGAATGGACGACGACGGGGGAGGGCGTCGAAAAAGTGAGTGAATGCGCGTATCCGGTCGATTTTACATAATACTGTTTGCGGCATCATCATCACCATTGAACCCTCATACACACGCACCTGCCTACCTACCTCTCAATCTATGGCTCTCCCGCACCGCATACATCATTCACAATACCCCTTCTGCTTTTCATCAATATTGATTTGTTCTCGTTTGATTTGGACTTTGGCCAAAATGGTCTTTTACTGTTAAGAGGACTTGACGGCTCTGTAGCACTCATCTTTAGTCAATCACTTTATTCCCAAATGGGCAGTGCCTTTGTGGGCTCCGGGTCATCGAAATCTGTTATTCCATTCATTTGTTGCGAATTTACAAGGGGTTTTTGAATAGCTTTTTTGGGTTTTTGGGAGAGAGTCCAGGAGTTTTCGGAAGGAACATGGGAAAAGTTGTGAACACTGAAATGATAAGAAGGCAGGAGTCTGGAAGAAAATAGGTAGGATGAGGGGTGGGAGGGGGTCGTTCCAGCGGTGGATGGTCGTGTCTACAAGAGTTCCAAAAGGCAAAACGTACCCAGTGATAGAAAGGGTTGAAAGATGAGAGATGAATGGTCCGTGGAAGGCCATAGAAGTATTTCAGTACGTACCCGGCCTACAAGGCCTTGGGGCCCAGTAGGGTCCACGTCGGCCTTCCACGAATCTGGGTAATGACGAGGTGATCCTAAGAACAAATGCTATTCAGCCGCGGTGAGTCCGATCTCCGCGAAGTGCTTGCGGCGCCTCTACCACCTGCGCTACCTTTTCCGAAATCTCTGTTGTGCATTCTACTTCTTCTCCGTCGACGATTCCAAGTTCTCGCTAATTTCAGGTCCCCCCCCACCCCAACTGTTACTACCAGGGTGAATCCCTATGTATCCGCTGGGTTAAGCATTGGCTTTGGCCTTGTAGTAGGTAGAACACGTGCCCAGAAAGCGCGAAGACCAGGTTCGAATTAACCTGAATTTTGCCCTCGAGCTGAGAGGGGGGATTCCGCGCCTCGAATAGGAACTCGAAAGCTAACCAATAAAAAAATTTCTTCAACGCCAATTCCGCTCTCTCCCCACCCCCTATTCCTAGAGGGCCACCGATACGACCTTCGATAGAATTCTGAGTTCCGAAATAGGATTCTGGGACTCCGCAATCTTGTGCTAAATTAGTATCAGTCTTGCGAACGAATTCTTCTTAAGCCCGAACAATTACTTGGAAATAGGCTGTGTGTAATGAGTTGCTCCGCCTCTTACTGTACGAGAAACCTGTGGATTTCAGATTATTTCACATTGGCTGCAGTCATGGTCTCACCACGAGCCATTGCTGGCATGTCCTTTTGTATTCGTCTGTTTATACTGGTAAGTACTGATAGTTCTGCTGATCTTCAGTATACTATCGTGTTTCTTAAGATCCTCACCATAGTGGCAATGATTCTGATTTTGGTAGCACCAGGTGCTTGCTTTTCGCGATATCTTAATGGTCAGCCGATCAGCAGAGAAATATGTCCAGGTAAGCTCTATAGAGTCAATTAATAGTCCTTTTCATGGCGGATGCTGGGGCGTTCCAGGGGACCGAGTTTGGTACGGCGCCAAACTGTTCTCCACCTTCCGCAACTGGCTGGGAACAAACTGGCGCTGCGCTAAACTCAGCCCCCCCCCCTTCCAGAACACCCCAGCATTTACGCAAATAGGACTAGACAGACCACCATAGATAAATGATCGATAAGATTTCAGGTCAAAATAGCATATTCCCCATGAACGCTGACCGTTGGAGTAACGCTTTGCATTTTCAAGGGCGAGGAGAAAAGTCAGTGATTTGGACAATATTTTATAAGGATTTTATTTGTAATATTTTTTTCAGTGTTTATGGTCAAGTCGCTCTGATTGTCGTCTCACTTTTCCTGGCCTTGGTTACGGTAGGAATCAGTTGTGTTCATCTAGCCCTTGGGAACAATCTTACGTACACGGTAAGCAGAATCTCAAATAGCGAAAGGGCATTTGCTAGTGTAAGTACAGTCTCGATCGCTGCGGATACATAGGCACGTCAAAGGGCTCAATTTGGCATGACGCCAGCCCTTTTCCTACCAATTATTGTCGCTTGCCCATTTCAACAACTGGTGGAAAACGGGTTGGCGCCACGCCAAACCTATGCTCCCTGACACGCCCAGCATACGCAGCGAACAAGAGTGCAGGTGATTTTGAAAGAGTGTTTTCATATCTACGATCTATCTCTATGCTTGTATGTGCTTACGCTTCTCGGCCAGGGTTAGGAGAAGATGGATATGAGCGCTTGGGTGGGAGTCGTTCTGTGCTGAATCGCATACCGGGGTTGGGGTTTCGAGCCTTCTAGTGGATCACGGAGGAGTTTGTTTAGGAGCTGACTTTTGTCTT